GGTAATTTTTTGCTTTCAGTATTTTAGTATTAAGAAGAGAAAATTAGCCCATTATATTTAACTGGGTATTTACCACTTCTGTGGCTCTTCCCTTCATTCCTGAAGTTCCAATTTTCCCTTTGTAGCATTTCTCTTCTGTCTGAAGAACTTTCTTTAACATTTCTATAGAACAGGACTACTGGCCACGGAGTTTCATAGTTTCCCTTGATCTGAGAATGTCTGCATTTTACCTTCATTCTTGAAATATGCTTTTCCTGGATATAGATATAGAATTCCAAGTTGACAGGTCTTTTATTTTAGCAGTTTAAAGATTTTAGTCCACTGTCAGTCCTCCTTGGTTCTTGATGAGAGATCTATGGGCATTTTATCTCATCTAATTGTCTAATTTATTCATCTATTCATGTAAGGACTGTATTTCAACAATCTCATTTTTTTAAAGTCCCCCTTCTCTGAGTCGCAAAGTTTGGTTCAGTATCTCTTAATATTACCAAAGTTTCATTATGGACTAATACATCTGAAGTATTTTTCTATGGTGTATAATGTGAATCACTTTCCAGCTGATGTAGAGGCTCCTAGGATTAACTTTAATTGTCCAAGATTGTTACACAAGGCTCCTTGAAAACATTGTTTCCCAGGGAATGTATGACTACTTCATTCCTTTATCATATAGGTTTTCTTTCCCAGATGTCAGTACCCCTGATAAACAGACTGGCCACAGAGAATCCCCAGTCATATTCTCTTATCAATATGGATGATTCCAGTAAGAACTTGATACCACCAGATCTAGGGGGTCCCAGTGACTATAACTCTCCTTTGCCACTATTACCCTCTTCACACGGGGCCTTATAACTATATTTTATATTTATTTTAAAACAGCTATTCATTGTTATACCTTCTTTTCAAAAACCTATTTTAAAAATGTCCCCATTAAAAAAGGGGAAGTTATAAATTTCATAATCAAGGCCAAGAGTCTTTCACCCATGCTTGACTAAATTAGGATAGATACGCTGAAAACACAAGATATAGAGGAAGAGAGAATGTTTTTCTGGGAGAGAAAGACTGATGCAGAAAAGGACTGAAAACCCCTTTCCCAGTGCAGGGTATTATTTCCCACCCAATTCTTATGGGGGGCAGAAAAACCATGTCAACCGTCTGGGTGTCCTACAATTCATCTCAATTCTGATCCTATCTACTTAGAGATAGCCTTATTCAGATTCTACAAATTAAGGGCTCAGTCTCACAAGTCGGATCCCACTTCAAATGCCAATCCAAAGTCCAGGTTGTCACCTCTGCTTCTGACTAACTGCCTCTAAGTCAGAGGTTTCCATGACCCCCTTCTTGGGTTCAATTAATTTTCTAGTAGCTCACAGAACTCAGGAAACCAGTTTGCTCACTAGATTATTACCAGTTTATTACAAAGGATACAAGTTAACAGCCAGATGACAAGATATATAGGGCAAGGTCCCAAACAAAGGAACTTCTATCTGCTTGGAATCTGTTTGGGCCTGGCTGAGCAGCACATCATTGCATCTGATTCACCAGCTTGGAAGCTGTCCAAACCATGTCCTTTGGGTTTTTATGGAGGCTTCGATACATAGGCATGATTAATTAAATAATTGTCACTGGTGATTTATTTAGCCTCCATGTCCTCTTCCATCCTCCCAAATCAGTGGTAGGACTAGAAACTTCTAATCTTCTAATCAGGATTAGTTCCCTGGCAAATAGCTCCCTACCTCCATCTTTAGGGGATTTAGAAAAGTCACCTTATTAACATAAACTCAGTTGTGATTGAAAGGGGCATTTATAAATATCAAGACACCCATTTCACCTTTATGATGGAAGAATTTTCAAGACTGAGAACAAGAGGCCAAATACTATTATAACAAAAGATGCTCCCATTGTTCTTACAGTTAGGAAATTCCAAGAGTTTTGGAAGCTGTGAGCCAGGAACCATAGACAAAGACTGACATATATATTTATTGTAAATCATAATATCACACAGGAATATTGTGGTCCACCATAGTGGGCAAATGTGAAAAAATCTCATTTATAGAGGAGTAGCATGTAAATGTATATAGATATTTATTTTCATAAATTGTATCTTACTGAATTCTGAAACATGTACTTGTTTTTATTCAATAATGTATCCTAGAAATTTTTCTACATTCATATCTACCTTCTAAAAACTATATCACTGCACAAAAATCATTTGAGTTTCTATATACAATGAACAATATGAAAAGGAAATTAATAAAACAATTCTACTCATAATAGCATCAAAAAGAATAAAATACTAAGGAATAAATCAAGGAAGCCAAAGACTTGTAAACCAAAAACCACAAAATATTGCTGAAAGAACTTAAAAAGTAGATAAATACATGGAAAGAAATCCTGTGACCATAAATTGGAAGGCATCATATTGACTACCCAAAGCAGTCTACAAATTTAATGCAATACCTATCAAAATTCCAATGGTATGTTTTGCAAAAATACAAAAATTTATCCTAAAATTCATATGGAATCTCAAAGGACCACAAATAGCTAAAACAATCTTGAAAAGAACAAAATTGGAGAACAAAGTCTCATACTCCTGATTTCTAAACAAACTACAGTGATCACACCAATACTGGCATAAAGACGGATATACACCAATGGAAAAGAATAGAAAGCCCAGAAATATAGCCTCACATGTATACAGTCAGCTGATTTTTGACAAGGATGCCAAGACCATTGACTAGGAAAGCAGAGTCTCTTCAATACATAGTGTTGGAAAAACTGGACATCCACATGCAAAAAAATGAATGTGGACACCTACCTAACCATATATAAAAATTAACTCAAAATAGATCAAAGATCTAAATGTGAAAGGTAAAACTATAAGAAAACATAGGGGAAGAGCTTCATGGCATTGGATTTGCAATGACTTCTTAGAGATTGTACCACAAACAGAGGCAAAGTATATATACATAAATCAGATAATGTAAAAGTGAAAAACTTCTATGCACCAAAGGACAGAATCAACAGTAAAATGGCAACATATGGAATGGGAGAAAATATTTGCAAATCATATCTCTGGTTCATATCCATAATAGATAAAGAACTACAACTCAACAACAATAGCAACAAAAGCAAAATCTGATAATAAAAGGACATTTCTCCAAGAAGATATACTAATGGCCAACAAGCATATGACAATATTTTCAAAATAGCTAATCATTAGGCAAATGCAGTTCAAAACCATAAGATATCCCTCTCACACCCATTAGGATGACAACTGTCAAAAAACAAACAGAAAATAACAAGTGCTAACAAAAATATGGAGAAATTGGAATCTTTGTGCCCTGTTGGTGGGAATGTAAAATGGTGCAGCCACTACAGAAAGCAGTACGGTGATACCTTAAAAATTAAAAATAGAAGTACCATATGATCCAGAAATTCCACTCAAAAGAACTTAAAGCAGGGTTACAGGAGGTATTTGTATATATTTTTTCATAACAGCATTATTCACAATAGCCAAAAGATAAAAGCAACCCGAGTGTCCATCAGCAGATACATGGGTAAACAAAAAAAACCCCTAAATATGTGGGGTTGTATATATGTATATATGTGGTATATACATATAATGGAATATTATTCAACCTGGAAAAGGAAGGAGATTCTGATACATGCTATAACATGGGTGAAACATGAAGCCATTATGCTACATGAAATAAGCAAGTCACAAGAACACAAACACTATATGATTCTATTTGCATGAGGTATCTAGAGTAGTCAGAGTCATACAAAGAAAACAAAATGGTAGTTGTCAAGAGCTGGTGGAGGGAGGAATGGGGAGTTGTTATTTAATGGGTATAGGGTTTCAGTTTTGCCAGATGAAAACAGTCTGGAGATTGGTTTCACCACAGTGTGAATGTACTTAATGCTACTGAGCCATACAATAAAAAATGATGACAATAATAAATTTTAAATTATGTGTATTTCACCACAATTTAAAAATATATATGATAGGGTACTATTCTAAGCTATGGATATACGAGATTATTTCACCAGTTTTTTACTGATGAATTTAACATTTTAAATTACCAGTGATAAATATTCTGGGTTAAATGGTATGAAGTATATTAAAACGAAAGCTATTGCTAAATTTCTTTTCTAATTTTGTACCGCTTCATATCTCCACTAATTATAAATAATGGTATGCATTCCCCAACATTATCAATAAGGTTTGATTTATAGTTAAACTTTTTGCCAATCTTTTGGGAGAAAAAGTAACTCATTGTGTTCATTTACATATTACAAATCTCTAGTGAAGTTAAGCATTTTTCACCATTTTAAACATTTTTACCTTCCTTTCTAGACATTAGTTTTTCATACCTCTGACCCAATTTTATGATGTAATTTGTTTTTTCTCATTATCTTTGAAAAAAATTGTTTACAAAATAGGGATATGAATCCTTTCATATATATTACATGTCTCTCTAGTCTGATGCAATTTATTTTAACCATTTAAGTTTTTTGTTCTTTTATTATTTCAATATAAACTTTAAAAAATAAACTTGAATCTATCTGTAATTGCTTTTGAATTTTGTGAGTTAGAGCATAATTTCTTATACACTTAATGTCAACTCATTCTATTCCTACTGCCTGGAAATGCCATTTTTCCATCTATACTAATGTTTTTTCTATATGCTGTTGTAGCTCTAACTTAACCTTTTTGGCACAACACTGCAGCATTCCATATGTTACCTATTTAAAATATGTTAGATGGCAGTCTCGTTCATTCTCTTCCTTTTAACAATAAAAATAAAAATAATACATATTTTTGGATAATTTCTTTTCCCGATATTGGAGCCATCTTGTTTAACTCCATAAAAATTTTTATTAATATATTGATTAGAGACCTTGCCTTCGCCCACCCTGAGCCAGTGGGTCTCCACTCATGTGGCATCGAGTGAGAGGGGCAGCGCACGGATGCTGGTGAAAGGGACCTGGGCAGAGCGATGGTGGTCAAGCTTACACTGGGGCTGCTTCTTCTGGAGCTACTCCTACCCACACAGATTTATTCAAATCAAACAACTGTTGTAACACTTTCAAGTAACCCCTCCCAGAATACCTTAACTGCCTCCAATCCAGCTAATGCCATCACCATGACAACTGGCCGTGCTGGGTAGTAAACAGCCAGTCTCTTCCTGATCTTGTTCTCTTCAACATTTCTACTGTTAAGAGACTCAGGCCAAGAAACACCTATACTTCCCCATCTTCTATACCCAATCCAAATGATGTCTAGACATCCAGTGTGACAAGGAAAAAACAGGTCTTTCTTTGTTGAATCTGCTAATTGCACACTTTATTTTATTGGCATAGAAAATGTTGAGGATCAAGTTTGATCGGTTTGAGGAAAATATGAAGAGTCTATTGTATGGATGATGAATGTCTATTAAATCTACTTGACTTTCATGTACAATATGAAGAGACAACATCCAAGATTAGTTAAGACATGGTCTTTAAAGGTGGATTAAGAAGTATGGACAGGTAAAATTCTACCTTGAAAATGAGAATACATTTTATCTTACCTAGATATAAAGGATGGGATGTCAACAGATTCAGTTTTCATTTGGTTCTTCAAATCTTTAAGGCCATGAAACAGGTAATACAAAAAGCTTCCATAATTCTATTTATGTGTACATTGGAAGGAACTTCCAGGTGTTGCTGTAAATCCTCAATGTATTGTCTCAGCAGTGCTGATTTCATGCCAGTGTAGTCTATATAAAGTTTTACATTGTTGAGCTATCACTCTTTCTTGGGAACTGAACTCTTTCCTCTGAGGCTTTGAATTTGACATTGCATTTGAGTTTTTATATAGTAGTTGACATGTGCCAAGGCACTGAATCTACCCCAGATTGAAGCATAGTGAGCAAATTTTGCATATATACATATCACCCATTCCTATTCAACAAGAGTGCTAGATTCATTTATCTAAACTGATTCCAAAAAGTAGGAGTACATTGGCCTCAACTAATTTCAAAATGCTTTTTATTTCTCCTTATGTTGAATACTTTTTTACAATTTAAAAAACTCTATTGTGAAGATAAAATTAACAAATCTTGAAATTAAAAAGACAAAATATGGACAGGAGCCAAAATTTTAAATCAAGTATTTGTGACGTAAAGACTGGAAGCTTACTTACAATAAATTCAGAAAAACTTTTATAGCCTTTCTGTGAATGCTTTTTTTTTTTTTAACTCTGAATAAGAATAATCACATTTGAAACATTTTCTGTTAGTCAATATTTTTAGATGGTTAGAACCTAAGCCCAAAGAAGGCTTGATTCTGGAAAGTACATCTTTTCACAACTGTCTGATGCACAGAAAGCTTTTTAAAAATAGACCCTCTAGTATTTTTGTTCACATGTTCATCCACTGATGCTTAAATGTTCCAGTATCTCATGTGGCCACAGTAGTCTTGATAACCAAAGTCGTTTTTCCCAACTTTAGGAACCCATACCAGCAACCATTTCCAACAGATCTCAAGCTACTGTATGTGAATGAACATTCGTTTTTGTTTCATGCCTGAATGCTGTCCACCTACTTTGGATTGTATATTGTGTTTGTGTGTTTATGCTTTGATTCAGAGCAACTTCTCATGTTATGAAATCGATTGCATTGAACTGTAAATTAAAAATTATGGCTGAAATTAAAATTAAATTTAAATTAAAAATTGTTTTAATTAATGAAAGAACAAAAAAAGATACTGATTGGGATCAAACTGAAGTTATAGAGCTATTTGGAAGAGGAGATTGACATTTTTCTGATGTTTACTCATTTATCTCAAGAATGTAATATGCTTCTTTTTAGTTTCAATTTTTTATTTAAATTCCAGTTAGTTAACATACAGTGTAATAGCTTCAGGAGTAGAATTCAGGGATTTATCATTTATATATAACACCCAGTGCTAATCACAACAAGTGCTCTCCTTAATGCCCATCACCTATCTAACCCATCCTCCCACCCACTTCCCCTCCAGCAACCTTCAGATTGTTCTCTATAGTTGAGAGTCTGTTTTATGGTTTGTCTCTCTCTCTCTTTTTTCTCCGTATGTTCATCTATTTCTTAAATTCCACATATGAGTGAAATGATCATTTACACCCTTTACACGGTTTTATAATTTATTTCATATAGTTTGTAGACATTTCATTTAGATACATTCTTTTTTTTTTTAATATTTTTATTTATTTCTAGGAGAGAGAGAGACAGTGTGAGCAGGGGAGGGTCAGAGAGAGAGGGAGATACAGACTCTGAAATAGGCTCCAGGCTCTGAGCTGGCAGTCAGCACAGAGCCCGACGCGGGGCTCGAACCCACAAACCGTGAGATCATGACCTAAGCAAAAGTCGGATGCTTAACCGACTAAGCCACCCAGGCGCCCTCATCTAGATATATTCTTATATTCTTAGGCATTCTCTATATTTTGAGGATCTTATATACAGGATCTTTTTTAAAAAATATAAGTTGTTGTCAAATTGGCTTACATACAAACTGAGTGTTGTATGTAAGCCAATTTGACAATAAATTATATTTATGAGCACACTGAGTGCTCATCCCAACGAGTGCCCTCCTCCATGCCCATTAACCATTTTCCCTTCTTCCCCACCCCCATCAAACCTCAGTTTGTTCTCTGTTTTTAAGAGTCTCTTATGGTTTTCCTCCCTTCCTCTCTGTTTGTATCTATTTTTCCCCTTCCCTTCCCCATGGTGTTCTGTTAAGTTCCTCAAGATCTACATATGAGTGAAAACATGATACCTGTCCTTCTCTGACTGACTGATTTCATTCAGTATAATGTTGACATTACATTTCTTATTTGCTTTAAAACACTTGATGGTTGCATCACAATCTTCTATTCTTCCAATGTGTTGAACTATTTTATACAATATTATTTCTTTTCAGTGGATGTTTCAAAGATAAACTTTTTGGAATTTTGCAAATAATGACACTTTTGCTTTTTTGTTGTACTACTTATTTCTTTTTTTTCTTTTCCTTTTTTTTTTTTTTTTTTTAGTTGGACCCCCGCGTTGGGCTCTGTGCTCACAGTTCGGAGCCTGGACCCTGCTTCATATTCTGTGTCTCTGAGTCTTCCCCACTCATGCTGTGTCTCTCTCAAAAATAAATAATAAAAACATTTTTTAAAAATTTTTAAAAAGAAAAAATCTATTTCTGTATCTTATGCAAGGTTTTTAAAAGGCTTACTTACATTGTTGCCCTTGCTGCAGTTGATGGTAAAAATTGAGGGGCAAAAGAGGCTGGGTGGTCAAATGTACTTATTTCTTATTCATATTTTGTTTCATGTGCTAGGTACACCAGTACAATGATGCACAGTACCTATGTTAGAGGACCTTTTTACCTTTTCTTTACTTTAATAGTAATGCTCTTAATGTCTCTTATTAAGTATTTATCATTTAAAAAATATTTATTTTTGAGAGAGAGAGAGCATAAGCAGGGGTGGAGTAGTGGGGGTAGAGGATCTGAACTGGGCTCTGTGATGACAGCCAACAGCCTAATATGGGGTTTGAAATCACAAACTGTGAGATTAGGACCTGGGCCAAAGTCAGATGCTTAGCCTACTGAGCCACACAGGTGCCCCAAGTATTTGTCCATTTTGATATAGAACTCTTTTGGTTAAGGAAATACCTTCTATTCATACCTTGACCAAAGTTTTATCAGAAATGACTGTTTAATTTTTTTAAATTTTCTATCATTTTTAATACGATCATGAAAATTTTCTGTTAATGTAGTTGGTTGCCTTAATAAAATTCTATGTCTTAAAACACAGAAAAGAACAATAAATATTATAACAGATACTTATGATGTCATCACCAAAAAGAAAAAAATTTGTTAACATATTATCACATTTTTTCCAGTTGCTTTTTCCAACTTTATGCTCTAAGTAAATCACACAAGAAATATATAAATTAGTCTCATTTATTAAAAAAAATGATAGTGATTAAACCAAAACACTTACTTAAAAATCATTCTTAACAGTTCTATCCCACCTTCTTTCTTCTCTGAGGCAGTCACTAATGTAGGTTTGGTATAAATATTGTAGTTTCTGTATATATTATATATAAACTATAATTTCATGAATTTTTTAAAAAAGTATATTTCCTGTATCATATAAGCAAATAATAAAAATTATTAAAATAGTTTTTAAAAATTTTTTTCACCAAAACTATTTAACTATTATAATTCGTAATATTTTCCTAACTTGCAATTGATATGCTGAGGGAGTTAATTATTATAAGATCAGCAGGTGCAGAGGCAGTGATTTGATTATCAGAAATGTGATAAGGTTGTTACATAGCCTATGTTAAATATAGTTTATAATTTCAAGTAAAGAGACTTCTTTTTCAATGACAAATATTCTTTTTAAATTTTTTTAACGTTTCTTTATGTTTGAGAGAGAGACAAAGAGTTCAAACAGTAGAGGGGCAGAGAGAGGGAGACAAAGAATCTGAAGCAGGCTGCGGACTCTGAGCTTTCAGCGCGAGCTCGAACTCACGAACAGTGAGATCATGACCTGAGCCAAAATCAGACACGCAACCAACTGAGCCACCCAGGTGCCCCATCAATGACAAATATTCTAAAATAATAAAAGTTTAAAAAGAAAACATTTATGTTGTGTACATTATGTGCCATGCATTATTCTAGTGCTTTGTGTATGTTAATGCCTGACATTAATACATTTGTGTAAAAATTTACAGACTCTGTTATAAAATAGCACTATGAGTATGACCTATTTATGACTTATGAACTGCAGTGAAGAGTTTAAGTAACCCGTTCCTATCACATTCCTAGTTAATTAGGTTCTGAGCAAAATTTCTACCACTAGACGTAAGTGATTCAGAACTTACTGAATATCCACTCCACTTCTTCCAGTCATTCAACTTGGCAAACATAGTCCCTGCCTATAATAGTTCTATCTCAGAGTGGATCTCTCTCCTTTTGGAAAAAAAAATTATTGCTAAAGATTGCATTTTCTGACTTATTTTTAACATAAAAATTTCAATTATAAACAAAAACAGAGAATAGTATAATGAATTCCTATGAGTCCATCATTCAATCTTAGGAAATACATTTCTTATTTAGAATATTTTTGAGGTTCATCCATGTTGTAAAATACATCAGCAATCCATTACTTTTTGTTGCTGAATGGTATGCCATTGTATGGATATAATACATTTGTATATCCATTCAACAAGGATATTTGGATTGTTATCAGGTTTTGACAATTATGAACAATGGGGCTATGAATAGTTGTGCATTTATCTCTGAAAGGATAAATGTTCTCATTTCTCTTGGGTTGACTCCTAGGAGTGAAATTTCTGGGTTGTACGGTAAGATTATGTTACACTTTCTTTTAAAGAAAATGCCAAACTGTTTTCCAAAGTAGCTGTATCATTTAATAGTCCCACCAGCAATCTCCAGTTGCTATATGAGAATTCTAATTTCTCCATATTCCTTCACATGATCATTTATATGTCTTCTTTGGTGAAATTCTTATTCAAATCTTTTAACTAGGATTAAAAGATTTTCAACTGGATTTTTTTCCTTCATTTTTGAGATGTGTTTATTAGATATTCCAGATGCAAGTCCTTA